AGGAAAGGAAAGGAAAGGAAAGGAAAGGAAAGGAAAGGAAAGGAAAGTTTTCTAAGTAGCATCATTTCATTAGTTTCTTTTAATGATTTAATTGAAGTTTTAGTAGTGTTCCATGCAGGTGTGTTCTATTTAAAGTAAGTGTATTCCAATTTGTACATTTATTGGAAGCAATGAGATGTGGTGATTAGTTACAATGAGGTGTGGTGGCAGTAGAGGAGGAGTGGAGAGATCAGAGATTAATCCACCCTCAGTCATTCAATGAAACTCATTGAATGACTGTACTAGTTGCTCTTGATCAACCCAACCTACCTCACAAGGTTGCAGTTGCAAGGACAAATAGGAAGAAACACTATATATGCTATCTTGAGTTCTTATTCAAAAGGAAGGATATAAATCTAATAAAAATAGCATACACGAAACTTGTCTCAACAGATTTCTATATTAGATTGTAAGTTAAAGGAAAGAATACGCGTTCGTTCACATATCTATAACTTAGATGTACTGATTTTTTAATCATTTTTTTCTCTGCTGAATGTATTCTTCTGTGCACTCCTGTGGGTATATATTAGGCTTTCCGCTTTGGATACGTTTAATAAAACTGAATGGGATAATTTCATGTTGTAATGCAAGATAAGTTACTTTCTCACCTATCCCTCATTTGCAGTAAACATGTATAGGATTGTGACAACATGCTCTTACCTTTGGCACTTCTGGTGGTTGTTTACAAAGCAGTTTGAGGTCTTGTCTGCTGTTTGATTGCCTCTAGGGATTAAAAAAATGGAAAAAATAAATTTACCCTTTTAATTTCTGCAGGACGAATTCAAACCAGAGAAGGCTTTATCAGAGGATGACCTTAAGAATGCCGTCAGCGTGCACCATGCGCTAGCATCAAAGGCAACTGACTATGAGAAAAAGCCAAATGTCCTGAAACTGAAGACAGCTGACTGGAGAGTGTTGCTTTTTCAAGCTCAGTAGGTTTCAGTTTGGTTGCTTGCACCGCGTGGTCCATGAAAAAAATAATAATCTTAGAACTTTGGGTGCCTTTCCAAAGACTTGTTTCGAATTCCCCCGCCTCCCTTTTTCAAAACTATGTTTTCCAGTTCTGAGTATAAATTATAACACAAGGACTGCAGACTCCCTAAGTCAGGGGTCTTCAAACTTGACAGCTTTAAGACTTGTGGGCTTCAACTTCCAGAATTCCTGCTCCAGTCATGTTAGCTCAGGAATTCTGGGAGTTGAAGCCCACAAGTCTTAAACTTGCCAAGTTTGAAGACCCTTGCCCTAAGTAAATATTGTACTGAAGCTATTGATAGTCCATCCTTTAGCTATAAAACAGTGTGCAGCTCAATAGAGGTTTCCATTGCCAGTCAGGTGGCCTATGACAATTCACCATGGCTAACTTGCCACGGCCAACTCACTATGGACAACTAGCTACAGCCATCTCACCACAGGACAATTTGTTGTGGGACAAGAGTTAACATTAATATCAAAGAAACAGTGGGAGAAAATCGTTAAAGAAAGGATGCAAAAGGATGGATAAAACGAAATCTGGATGACAAAAAATAAAATTATTTTTAATTTTATTTTAAATATTTTTAAATAATTAAATTGAATTTTTAAATTATTCCATGACGCGTTGTGGTGAACTGGCCATGGCGAGTTGTCCTGTAAGCAAGTTGGCCATGGCAAGTTGGCCATGGCAGGTTGACTGCAGCAAGTTGTCCCATTCAGAATCAGTCAACCCAAGTAGGAGAATTATTCAGTAGTTGCAATGCTGTCTTGGCCTTAAATCTGTATTGCAGGTCTACTATAATGTATACAAAGGTGGGGGAAAAATAGCACACCTTCCTATATGTGGTAATATATAACATGCAGCTTTTAAGCCTACCTTAACAATCAAAGTTAAGGTGAGGACATGGTGCTTAAAGTGATATCTAAAAAAAAAAGAACCCTTTTAATCATTTAAACTTTGGAGGAAAAAAGCTACAAAAGAGACATGCACGTGACTTTTGTAACTGCTGCAATGCAGATATTTTTTCTATTGTGTAGAGACATGGATTAGATTTAAGTCAAAGCTATAGGGGTGTGTTTTGCAGATCACTGAAATGCATCAAAACATTTAGGGAAGGCCGATGTAGACCTTTATCCACCTTGCTAGTGGAGAAACTAGAAATGTAAATAACAAGGTTAAAATTAAATTTTGGGTTGGGGTTAATTATACAGTTTAAATTGTCATAATGGTTACTTGTGGTTGGAAAGAAGAAAGGGAGGGGCAATATCCTTAGATCTCTTAAGTGGACTTTAGAAAATATTTGTAGTTCAAGATTGGTGCTCCCTGAGCTTGGTTGTTTTCTTGCAGACTTTTCATTACTCAAACTGCGCACTGATAATTTACCTAGCTTGAGTCATAAAATGCCTGCAAGAAAACAGCCAGTCTCAGGGAGCACTAAAGACCCCTCATAAGTGGACTTTGATGTTATTAATTAAATTCCTTGTGTGTCCAATCATACTTGGCCAATAAAGGATTCTATTCTATTCTATTCTATTCTATTCTATTCTATTCTATTCTATTCTACCCTACCCTACCCTACCCTACCCTACCCTATCCTATCAGAAGTCTAGGTTTGGGGATATGAGGCATTTAATGAACTATAGGGATGACTCCAGAAAAGGCTCTGCTTGCCATGGTCCTTCATCATATTTTAGAGTATCTGCAGGGTTTGATTAAAATATATCAAATTGGCAGCTGTGATGGTGTGATCAAAATTCTGCCTGAGTACATGAAAAACAGGGAAAGTTTTGGTCAGTTCTTGATGGCCACCATCTTGATGTTTTTAATCATACCCTGCAGACACCTTGCCTACTTGGTTGACTCCATCTTAAGGTTGTTACTGTCTTCTGACGCTTAACGGGAAAGCACTCATTACAAGTAGTCTGCATTTAGCAACGGCCTTCTTTAATGACCATTTGCAGTTGCAGCGGTGACGAAAAAAGTAACTTAACAGCCAGTCCTCACATTCATGACCTTTGCAGGTCTGTAAAGCAAAGCAAAGCTGAAGTAAGGTCAAAAAATTGTGATGTTTCTCTTCACAAAGTGCTTTGCTCAAGTTGCTGGTTCCAGTTGTGGCTGCTAAAAAAAGATTATATGAATTATGCAAGAAAAAATTATTGTTGAACCAAAGATGGAAGGAAACAAGAAAAATATGGCGATGAAACACAGATGAATGGAATTTTCCTAAACATGGCTTGCACACAGGGACAACTCCTGCATTGCGTTGCTGCAAGAGAAACTTATTCTGATGCAAGAATATATAAGAGTGGCCTAAACTAGCCATTCTTATTATGCCAGTGCAAATATCAAAGAAAATGTGCAAGCCTTATGCCTGAGGCCAGCCAGAGTCACTGATTAATCTGTCTTTCTTCCACAGGAGCCCTGAAGAAATGGAGTCCTGGATCAATAAGATCAATTCGGTGGCAGCCATTTTTTCTGCCCCACCGTTTCCAGCTGCAATTGGATCCCAGAAGAAATTCAGCCGCCCTCTCTTACCTGCCTCCACCACCAAATTATCTCAGGTGATTGGGTTTTTTTCTGTTTCTGTTTCTCCCTCTCCTTACAGCTTGCACAAACAGGGCTTCTAGTATTATTCTCCCTTGCAATCATTCTCAAATAATTGTGCGCGTATGAGCACTTGATTCATTAGTCCTGACACCGAACATAGTGTGGTGGTTCGCTATATAATTTCCAACTCAGCTGTGTACATAGCTGTTCTTTCTAGGCTGGCAGAATGGGAAATAATAATAGCACCAGCCAATAGAGAGAATTCTTCTTTGACTCATGATATGACTACAAGTTATGTACAGGTAGTCCTTGGGTTATGACTGTTATGCAGCCTGCCCATCCTGGTCGCAATTCATGATGGTCATAAATCAGGTAACCCATTTGACTGACCTGATCTTATAATCCTTTTTGGGTGGTTGTTAAACTCCATAGTTGTAAATAACAATAGCACTTAGACTTATATACCGCTTTATAGTGCTTTGCAGCCCTCCCTAAGCAGTTTACAGAGTCAGCCTATTGCCCCCCACAATCTGGGTCCTCATTTTACCCACCTCAGAAGGATGGAAGGCTGAGTCAACCTTGAGCTTGGTGAGATTTGATCTGCCAAATTGCAGGCAGCTGGCGGTCAGCAGAAGTTGCCTGCAGTACTGCACTCTACCACTGCGCCACCGTGGTTCTTAAAGCTAACCAATGGCTTGCTATGGGCCGATTTTGTTGAAAACCATCATAAAACATGATCATATGATTGTGGGGCACTGTAAATGGCCGTAAATGCAGCCTTAATGCTGAGTGAAGTGCAGTCATGCAATCACTTAGGAGGAGGGGCAACTGCTCAAACTTTGGATCTAGGTTGAAAGTACCACCAAGGGAGGTTTCTTGTAAAGGTGAACAGTCACTAAGCAACTGGTTGTAAGTTGCGGGCTACCTGTACAAATTTAGGCCACAAGATGGATCTTTCTCAAATTTTGTTTAGAAAATTCTCGTCAATTTGAACAAAATCCATGTAATATTTGAATTGCTGGTTTAGGAACCTGGAATAGTTGAATTCCGGATTTAGGAACTGAACACTCCTAAAACAAGTTTTTAAATCATTTAACTAAGTGCACTAGAGGTTCATTCTAAACCATGTAATTGCCTCTGCAGGATGACCAGCTAAAATCCCACGAGAGCAAACTGAAGCAGGTCTCTACTGAACTAGCCGAACATCGTTCCTATCCACCGGATAAGAAACTGAAGGGCAAGGAGATTGAAGACTATAAGTTGAAAGACCATTATTTGGAATTTGAGGTATGTGGCAGTCAACTAAGACTGGTCCCTATTTTAAAGGTAGTCATTGTAGAGATCATAGCACTTCAGCAAGTGAGTAGTGAGAGTTTATCTCCACTGAAAGTTTTTAACGCTATAATTAAAATGCAGGGAACATTGCTATATGTTTTAATTAAAAAGGTCTCGATGGGAGAGAATTATCCTGTTGATGTCTATATATTACTTAGACCCTCATGTCTGTTCCATTGTTTGTAACCCTCAGTTGGGAAAAGCACTGGATCATAGGACAACATTTTTGAATCAATTTACCTTAAATGGGTTAACTTATAGATTTGCAACCAAAATCTAGGATCTATGACTCTCATGAGATTAACATTTGGCAAAGTTGTGGCTGCTTCATTGCTGCTGTGCAGCTGCAGTCAGCTGCAGTTATGTGATTGTCATTTCCAGTGCTCCAAGCCAGCTTCCTACAAAGAAAGTCAGTGGGGAAACCAGCAGATGAAGTTAAAAGTTGCTCCCATTCTCACTGGGGGACTTTTGACCACTGTTTTTTTTTTTTTTAGGTAAGCAAATATATCTGTAACAACAACCCAACAGAGTACAAGTTGACTAGTAAAGCAAAAATGTAGGATGGTGGATCAGATGTGTATTTGCTTTGTTTTGAGCTAGGCTGTCAGTTTTTGAAGAATCAGTCTGTAATAATTTAGGAAGAGGATGATGTTTTCATGTTATTGTTCCCTTTTTAATTCTGATTGTCTGTCTTCATTTGATACTGGCATTTCCTCCATTCTTTATAGTTGTGCAGGTAGCTTCTTGACTGACTTATTTAAATTACCAGGAACTATCTGCATGTCACTAGGGATGGAACAACAGTAGTGGATGCCCTATCTAGATGGCAGTGACAGGTCCAACAAGCCTGACTACTATAAGGAATATAGTTTAAATTCTGGAGTCGAACTAAATTATTGCCAGCACTATTTCATACTTTTCTAGAGCCAAGTCTTAACGTTGCCAAGTTTGGAGATCTCTGCTATACAACAATCAGCATTCCTGGCACCATTTCCTCTCTGTTCAATTCTCTAGCATATTCATTATCTGATGAAGCATAATCAGTTCAAAATGCTATCAGCATTCATCTCTGTAGTTCGGTATTGTTGAGTGACATGCTTATAATAATTATTTGTCTTTTCACCATTGCTGAAAGTATCAATACTGAGCGCATGACTATTTCATTTAACTGTCAAATTGATTTTTTTAAAAAATAATCCGTCTCTTCCAAGGCTTTCGAAAGCTCACCCACAACCGTTGCTTCTTCTGTTGCGTTCTTTTAAAGAGGCCTTGAAATCATCTTGTATTTGTATAGCAATGCTTAGCTGAGTCATGTTTTGAAATAAGAGAAAGCCTTTTTTGTTCTTCATAGGGGAAGACAATTTTAACAATAGACTTTCCTTTAAAGAATGTTTGGTAGAACTTCATCAACATTTGTCACGATTCATTGGAAAGGGTCAGAATGCATGTCATTAAATAAGCAATCCTGGAAATTCTAGAAATTGCATTTTGCACCCCTTAAAAGCCCTTTTCTGAATTCTGATTAATCACCACTAGTGTATTTGAGTTCATCACAGCACCACTGAGTGATGTTGCAGATGAAACTGCCTCATACAGAGGAGTTGTGGTTTTCTAGAGAGTGAACAAATTCAGCAGTTGGGATTTTCAAAAATATGTTAAATCTTCCTTTACAGTTTACACTTTGTATTTGGTCCTTGGTGGGCTCAGAAATTTGTGGCAGTGAAGTCTGTCTAGCTGAAGACAAGCAACAGTATATTTTACAAAGTTCAATTCTATAATGATTATTTTGACATAATACTGAATATTCATAGTCTGTATGGAAAGATGAGAACTGAGTAGGTGCACAATTAAAGTTCTGAATTTTATATGTAAATGTGGATCCATTTGCCACTGCAGATTTTTCTACTTCACATACTGATCAGGGCATAAAATGAGAGGTATTCCATTGTTTTCAGAAAGCCTTCAAGTTGGGATAAAGGGGGAAGTATAGGAAAGGACAAGGTGAGGCCACAATAAGGATCCTTCTTAAGTGTCTTTAGCCTGCCTAAGCCTTGTGGGTAGACTGAAGATAGCAATACCAATAGCACTTAGACTAATATATCACTTCACAGTGCCTTACAGCCTTCTTTAAGTGATTTACAGTCAGCATATTGCCCCCAACAACCTGCATCCTCATTTTACCGACTTCGAAGGGATGGAAGGCTGAGTCAACCTTGAACCGGTGAGAATTGAACTACCGAATTGCTGGAAGTCAGCAGTCAGCAGAATTAGCCTGGAGTACCACATTCTAACCACTGCACACTCTGAAATCCACTACTTTAGACAAGATTCTTTGTGTGTTCTTTCAAAATGCAACATTCAAAGAAAGAACCAACACATGTCCTTCAGTTTTCAGTTTACAAGGCATTTAAGTATTACTTCTGGATGCCCTTGTCACACACTAGCTAATATTGCTCTGCTGGTTTACTTGCTGTGTGTCCAATTTGCCAGGACTGATTTCTACACACGTCATAGACGTGATACTGTAGACTGAGTCTTTTCTTTCTTTCTTTTTTTCCAGAAAGCCCGTTATGAAATCTATGTGTCTCTTCTCAAAGATGGAGCAGGAAAGGAGTTGCTGAGTACCAGTGAGATTGATGGTCCTGGACTGAAGAAATGCCACTCCAGTCCTTCATTAAATCAGGAGTCTCCTGTTAGTGCCAAAGTGAAGCGTAACGTCTCTGAGAGGAAGGACTATCGACCAGAAACTCCCAGCATCAAGCAGAAGGTTACTTAAGGAAACCAAGGCAGGCTGGAGGATCATGCACCACTCTCTCTTTGATAACCTGTCCTTTGCGAAACAAACAAAAATTAACACATCTGCCTGAATGGGTGTTAGTGACATTTTTCAGTTGTAAATTTTGTTGTTTCTGTACAGGTTGTTGGAAATGTTTTGGCTTCTAACTTGCATTTGCCTAGTTAAGTTATCACAGAGCAATTGATCCAGTCCTTTTAAAAAAAAATAAGAAAAGAAGGGGAAAAAAATTGGAATAGGACAAGAGAGATTTCATGGTGTATTTATCTCTCTGTCATACCTTGGTCTTCTTTTGTTGGCTTCCAATTTTCATCTGAACTGCTGCTGCTGCTGTTCAGCCGTGTGTGGGAATGATGAGACAAGTGGAGGCTTATCAACTTGTTAAGCCTTGTCAGCGGATAAGCTAAGATGTAAAAGAGACTGGGTAAAAAATGTTCAAATGTTGCCAAGCTCGGTAACAACACATTATTGGAAGATATGCCAGTAACTAGATTATTGAGTGATCAGTCATTGTGATCTCTGAGTCCAAACTTTACAAGTTACCAAGTTAATGTTTTGGATGTAGAAACAGATGAAGACCTTCGGTGAATAGAAATGATTTCAACTGAAACAGGTCTTATTTTTTCATGTTCCTGGGTGGAAACTTTCTACTATAATCTCCTCTGTTTTATCTGCACATAGTGCTATCCTAATGATTCTCAACAGCAAATAATCATATATTCTTTGTACTGATAGTAGTAGCATATAATGTTTTTGTTCAATTGGCATTATGATCCTCCTTCAGATGTTTAAGTATTTTCAGGCACTTTATAAACTAGTTGATCAAAATCTGGTACCAATCCAGTCCCCATTTGCTAACCAAGAGGTGCCCTGTGCTATAGAATTACCTAACAGAGATGTCTGTCTATCCCCATATCCATACTGTATTTCTTGATGTTTTTTTTTTAAAAAAATGGCCCGAAAAAACTCTTTTATTATTACAGTTCCTAGAGTGGTCTCATTTCCATTGCAGAAGAGGACATTACATCTGACTCTTTCCTGGGGATGAAAAACATCCTGCAATGCAAATCAAGGAGAAAAGAAATAATCAGAACAATGGGGGTTTAAGTTATAATCAGGAGCCTTGGATAAAAGGCTTTCTGGGGAATAATATGGCAGCTCGAAGATAAGAACACATGTTCTAGCAGGGCATTATTTTCTAGGCAGGGTTTGTACATTTCTTTGCCCACTTTTTGAAGAGGATAGATTGTGTTAAAAAAAGACCCATCCCTTAGGCTCTACCAGGCTGGGAGATAGGAAAACGACATGTGAAAAGCTCTGAATTAGGCTCCTAAATTGAGAATACTAAATAAAAGCTGTCGGTAATCATGGCATTCTTTATAAGTGCAATTAAGGTATTGTTCTACTTCAGTACTGGTAACTTGCAGCTCTTTAGATGCCACAAATATTACAGTCATCAATCACTATTAGACCTGCTACACCTGCTAAATAACTTACATATCAAAGTTCTTACCATCTATACCTTCATAAGAAAATTTCTTTCATTTTTCAATCACGATTTATCACTGCATGCCATGAATATAAATCGGTATTTGGGGTACTGTATAAGTTGCTAATGCGTGCCAAAATAGGAAGATTCACAAAGAGTGGCACATAGTTTCAACAACAGTTCAGAAAAGCTAGCAAACTGCCAGCCTTGTTGAAACAAAAAGAGATTGCAGTAAAATGATGGCACCGATTTGCATCTTTTTAAAAAGTGGGAGGGGGTTGTGTTAATTCAATGTATGCTTTGTACTAATGGAATAGAAGGGGGAAAATGAAGCGGGTGTACAAATATTGGTATGGCTGGAGAGAGAGATATGAGAAATGTTAAACGCATGCCTTGAAACAGAGAAATCATTTTTTTTTCTCTACATATGGGTGAGACAGTGATGCTATATTAAGATTGTACATGGCATTTCCGTAGGTAAAGTAGACTAAACTGAATTATTCAAGAGCCTTCCAGGTTGGTTGACTATTAGCCCCCTTGTCTATTGGTTGAGTGTTACCGATGGTGTTGGCAAACTCTAGAATAGCAGGGGTTTTAGATTTGCATTTTGGAATGACTACAGCATGGTAGGAATTATCAGGTGTGTGTAAGGTACTCCTTCCATTAAACTACAGAATTTGTGGTTGGATTCACCCGTTGCACTAAGCTGTGCTTTGTTTTAACCAGACTTTGTTGTACAGACCACAATAGCTAGATTTGCCAGTACAATTAAGCCAAAGTCAAATGAAATTCCCCCTGGCATAAAGCAATGTGTGAATCCATCTTCATAGTGACTCACTGAATATTTGTTCATATAAAGACACACTTTGGAAAAATGACCAGTGGGGAAATGGTGGCTGCTCTTTCTTTCTCTTGCAGATCAGCAAGCTTTGTAAGATTTTGGAGTAACCCATGTGGCAGCCAGGCAGCAGACTATATATACTCCACTCATCTAGTAGAGTCAGTGCCAATGAGTTACATGGACTTTCCGATGTCCTAATATGAGTTTGGTCAAGACTGCATACAAAGATTGGAGAGGGTATTCTTTTTTTCCCTTGAACTCCTAGAGGAAAAGCAGGAAATAAAGCTAACCAATAAATAAATACAGAAGAGCATTCCCTCCAACTGCAAAACCTGTCCTCCCTCCTTAGAATACTAGGTACGTTTCCATTTGTGTGAAGCTGTGGGTTGCTTCGTAGTCTGGATTCAGTCCAGAGATTACTCAGTCAGTTGGAAAATAGGGAGCATGATTTAGGATAAGAGCCCTAGAAGTATAAAAAGAAGAAACCGTCACCCAGCTGGGTCTCTGTGCTCAGAGGGAGAGAGATTGCAATTTTCTCCATAATGCACATAATGGACATGTCAGAATTAACTGTCTGTGTCATGTTTCCATTTTCACTTTCCCTGTCCTCCTTTCACTTTCTAAGAATCAAGTTGTAGTCAAGCCTGTTAGGCTTAATATTAAAAGTACGGTTCTTGAAAGAGGTTCGATAACAGTTGGAAGCTTTCTGCTTTTGTGATGCTTTCAGAAGACTGAAACAAACCCCAAGATGGCTATTCAAGCCACACAATTAAAAGCTGGAATGGGCTTTATATGCACTCTTGTTCTCCATGTGCACCCCGATGACTGTTGCCTTGGGGAAACAGCAGTGCAGCCAATAGCTGAAATGCTGCAATTCATGAATGTATTTGTGTCTATTTCTTTTCAGAAGCAGAGGGGGATTCCGATTATTTATTACTTCCAAGGTGCCTATGGTGGTGGCAGGCAGAGGGTGTGTTGTAAATTACCAAGACTGCAGTCGGCTCCTCGGTTGCATCCCTGAAATAAGGGGTCAAGCAGGCTTTGGCTTCATTAGGTAGCTCAGTAGTTTTTCTCAGAGGAATAAGTCTGCTTTTACTTCGTGTTTATTTATACGGCAGAACATCAGAGGTTGCACTTGTCAACCTACCTGGAGTGAACATGAAGCTGCCTTTGTGTCGATGTGTTGACTGCAGTCATTGTTGATTAAGCTTCTCCTACAATATAATATGAATCAGCTTTTATATATAAGGTGTTTTTTTCCTGCTCATTTGAAAATTAAGGTGTAGTTACACTTACTTTGCATGAGAGGTATTGGTGTACTGCTGATATGGATGTACATATCTAGACAAGAGCGTGCATCAAAAATAGTTGCCTATGCTTTTGTGAAATATGTATATGTATAGGGTTTCCTGCCCAAGGTCCCTTCCAATTCTGTTATTCTATTCTATTTGATATTGATAGGTACGCTTAGGTCTTTTGCGATTAAAAGGTTTTGGCTGGCATCGGATTGGAACTAGGTACTTACATTAACTTTATGCTATATCTCTGTTCTGCTGTTTCCAAGCATTGTTTTCTGTAAGAATTGGCACATTGGCATTCAAATTGGGTGTATAATCTTTACGGTTGTACCATAGTTGTCAGGGTCTATAAGCAAGAAGCTCCTATAGAAGTATATTCACTGGTCTCTGGTTATATTTTTATATGTCAAAGGTTTTCCTAATGTTATGTCACTTTGCTATTGAAGCTTGTGGCAAAATAGCCAAATCTCCTACAACCTTATGGTGTTTGGTTTTTTTTAAACATCCCTAATAACCTCTTTAGTCCCAGAGGTGTTGAAACTTGGGTGGATGAGTATGAATAATTGTACATGATCTAAAAATTGCTCTTGAAATCCTGCAGCTTATATCAGCAATTACAACACCTACAGGAATAGACTTCCAGGCTAAATCCCTTGATATTTAAACTGTTGCCGTGTCTAGAAGCAGCGAGAACAGCTTTCCAGAATACCAATGTCCTCTCGGTCTCCCACCGTGATCTTGCCAGTTGTACAATGTCTTTATTCCTGAGTCTTGCTTTTCGGTTTTGACCGCCAATTCTGTTGTCCCTCCAAAAACTGCATTCCATAAGACAGTGCAGCACTGTGGCCTCTAGAACCAACAGGCATAGCTGATTTCTTTCCTTTTCCTTTCCTTTCTTTTACAAACTTCCAAGCTGAACTCTTCGGTGGTTGATACCCAGCCTATACAGTTATTATTGTAACTCTTTAAACTCCTTGGAAGGGTGCATCACTAAATTAAATTCAGGTAGGCTGAGATTTTCAAAATGGCCCTATTTATTGCACTGAGTCGAGTGTATTTTTTTGAAGGAAAGAAACGAAGAAGCTCTTATTTTAACAGATCCCCCCCCCCCCCCCCCAATTGGATGCAGTTGCCTGTTATTTTTCTCATATCTTGCCATGTTTATTATTTGGGACCTGTTTTGAGCCAGATTAGAAGTTTTTTTTAAGGGGAATCTCTGGGGATGGTACATTAATTCCATTTAATTTTCAGTTGTACAGTATGTTCCCAGTTCTATTATCTGCAAAACTGCAAGGCATTCATACTCTGTAACAGACTGAGAAGTCTGAAAAATCAGCACTTTAGTGTAGCTATACAGTTTTGAAAGATTTGATCAAGTCTACCATGTAGACTACCTAGAGCTGAGTGATAAGCTATATGTCTTGCATGGAAGGAAGGAGGATTATATTCAGTTCTCAGTATCTTCCAGCTAAAAGGTTTTCGGATTACAAAGCTTGGAAAGAAAAGAATTCCTTGAAATCTGAGGGAGCACATTTGGAAAACATGTTGCAACTACGTGAGGCAATTTTCTAGTTCAGACCATGGCAGAGCTTTGCAATATTAATTCACTGAGCCCAAACTATTTCTGAATCCATTGAAAACTTCTTGCTCATCTCTGGCTTGTATTGATATAGCAATGCAACATTTTCTTTAAATAGCAATTCCTGTTATCTCCAAACCAACATTTACCCACATTGGCTGGGGAGGATCCCAGAAACCTGAACAATGCCAGATCAAAAATTGGGCTTAGTTGAGAAGCCTCACCTAAAATTAAATTAGAAGTAAAACTCACCAAGTATATTTGAATGCAATTATCATATCTGTGTATCTCAGCAAATTATTTGTTATTACTGCAGAGGTATAATGTGGCTAAAAACTAATTTGTTTCAATCTTAGCAAAGATGGAACCGATACTTGGTTGTTTTCTAATAAGGAGGCATGGAAGAGATAATGTGGCTTCTTCCACTGGTTCCAGATGAGCTGGCCTCAGTAATAGTTGTGGCGTATATTTACAGTTTTGCTGTGCTTAGTTTATCTTTCTGTCTTGAAGTGACTGAAAATATAGTAACCATCTTTGTTCAGCAGAGTTCTGCATCATCGTTTCCACTCCACGTCTTGTGCAGAGTTTAAGAATCTTGCACATTTGTTTTCCATCATTTGTATCACTTGAAGAAGTAGCGTGGCTGACATTTGCAACAGCTCTGAGGCTGAGTTTATATCTGTCATTTTTAACAAATTAGATTTGCCTCTAGATGGTCTCTCTGCACCATTCTTCTATGATTATTTACATAAACACCTGTGGTACATTTCTCTGTAAAATCTGATTTTGTGTGTGTGAGTGTGTCTTGTTTGTTTTTTTTGTTTTATTTTTTGTGTCATATATAT